TGTAAGCAAAGGTCAGTGGAGATGAAAAAGTGAATGAGAAGAATCTGAATGTGTGAAAATATAAATGTATAAGAGTTCATGGCTGAATGTGAGGCCGAGCAGAGTCAGGCCCTGGTTACATGAAAACAACCACACAGTTTCCACTGAGTGCTGCTGTAAGCACTCTGGCCACTGACCATGCAATCGTGGTATCCAGGGCAACAGCAAGTCTGCAAAGCCAAGGCAGGACTTACACAGGGCCATCAGTATTCCCAGTCACCAAAGGAACTTGAGGAGTTGCCAAGAATGGAGTATGCGCCATCTCGGAATTGGGCCAGGTGCTTCGGACAGCTGCTGAGGCTCAGACGCAAGATCAATGAGGTTCCCTCACCCCTCACGCTGATGTCATTCCCCCAGATGGTGTAGGTGGGTGTGAGGTCTGTGCCTGGGTTACAGTTTCCCCTTGGTGCTCACCTTGCTTCATGCTGTAGTAGAGGTGACTCAACAAATACCTCCAATTTTCTAACTGGAAAACATTCACTGAGGGAGAATTGATTCGACAAGTGACCCCCTACCTCCACCCCAGCAGGGGTGTCCAATTAAACCTGACAAACAGCTGTGGTTCTTTATTTGATACCACAGTTACCCGTAACCTTTCCAATACCCTGGAGCCAAAGCCACATATTAAAGTTACTAAATCATAATTTCTGGAGTCCGATCATGGTATCAGTAATTTTCAAAACTCCTCCATGTCATTCCAACTTGCAGCAAAATTGGAGAAGCAGACTACAGTCTTGATCCTCAAAGTGCTGTCTGTGCAACAATCCACAAGAAGCACCGGGGAGCCCACCAAAAATGCAGAACCCAAGCCCCACCTGCCTGCTGCCACAGTCACTATGCTTCTGAATCTCGAGACCCTGTGGAGTTTCATTTGCACATTAAAGCCTGATACGAACCCAGTGGCCTTTATTTTTTATTTATATTTTTTCCTTAGAGACAGGATCTGGCTATGTAGTTCAGACTGGCCTTGAACTCACAATCCTATGTGAGCCACCATGCCTGGGTCAAAATACCTTTAAATGGAGCCTAATGGGATGTACTAATTGTAATTGCCTCCATAAATGGGAAACCCTGAATGATGTAGCAATAGCCATAGGGGATAGGGGCAAGGAATAGGAAGGGGCCAGAGACCAAAGGGGGGATAGCATACAGACAGCAGGACCACAAAGCTGGCAAAGAGATGTGAAGAAATGGAAACTTCAGGTGGCTTTTGTATTTGCACGGATTGATTTTCACACTGCAAGGCCTTCCACGTAGAATTCCACCCAGTCAGTGGGTTTTATTTCCACTGACTGCTCAGTAGGTGACAAGGCAACTCCCAGAGCTTCATATGTGTCATCAGGTTAATCCTCAGGACCTCCCACCCTACCACCGATGGCAATAATTCCCTTTTTGCAGAAGCACAAGGAGGTTAATGTCCTGACCGAAGTCACTTAGCCAGTCAGCTACAGAGTGAGGATTTCGTTTGTGGTTTCTGATCTGTTTTTCCTAGTACCAAAATGGGGGTTTATTTCATAGTCAGTGTGGAGAAAAAGGAATAAAGACCAAGCACAAACTGTGCCCAGGGGCTTTTAATAACCTCATTTAATGTGGGGAATACAGAAATGAATACAGTAATCGTGGGGAATACTGTTTTGAGCCAAGTATGTCCTACCCCTGCCCCTTCACTCTCACTTTTCCCTGTCTGGAACATCTGCTTCATTCCCACCAATGACATGGACTAGCGAGGAAAATTTCACAGGACACCACCTGAGATTTGCACAGACCCTGAGGTCCACTATGATGGTAATAGGCACAGAACTACAGTTACACGAGATCTGGGTCAAGACTGTCACAGACCAGCGACAACCTTAAGGATAAGAAACATCACCACCTTCCAGTCATAACTAAGCTTTATTGTAATATGTTCCATAATTTTCAGAACATCACTGCAACTACAAACTTGTATGCAAGATGATTTTTATAACTGCAGAGTAAATAAAATATAATAGAGAATGGCATTGTAACAATACATGTACCTTAAATATAAATATACACGTTGATATTTCACACATATAAAAGTCATGCTCTGCAAATACTTTGCTTACATACTGTCTTTGTGGGCTACTGAATTCCAGGATGTGTCTTCAAGGATTTATAAGTGTCCCATTAGTTATGGGTATTTCCAGAGAGCTTATGTGAGAGCAACTCATTATAAATTTTGAGGAAAAAGAAAGTATCACAGAGCAATTTGTAAAATATTTAATACATTTTTGCTTCTACAAAGAACGAGCATTTATTACAAACAGTGAAACAAATATACTAGCTTACAGATATGTACAATTTACTACTTTATACTTCAAAAATGCAGGAAGATAAATTATATAATATATATAATTTTAGATATAATGAACAATTCGATATTGCTCTTATGTTGGTCCTGCTGCATTGTATGCGTGCCCATGGCTTGTCACTGGATGGAGAGGGGACCAGTGGGGACAAAAGGGAACTCATGGAGCCCCATGCCTAATCCCAGAGTGCCATCTTCCAAGCAATATTTTGAGTTTTATGACATAGTGGGGCTGGGCCAAAGACTTCTGTGCCCATGTGAAATGTAGGATGTTTTCAAGAACCACAACTCCATATTTGGGGTGGTATCAAACTAGTGTTGAAAACCAACAGGTACAGTGGTACCAATCATCAAGCCAAGAGTCAGTGAAGCAGTTTATAGAAAATGACCTCAGAATGAAGCCCCAGGATGTAGGCTTCACCAGCCTCCCTATCCTACTAAACTCACAGGTGAAATACAAAGGAGCAGACGTGTCCAAAAGGAGCTCAAATTGTCAATAACTCCAAGCTTCTCAGGCTGACCTAAAAACTTTAAAATGTAGAAAATGACCTTAAAGGATCAAAAGAACCCAATCAAATCTATACCATCTCTCACTCGGCCATGAAACTCTGTTACTCCTTCCACTTCTCCTACACTCAAGTGACAAGGTGATAATCTTTCTCTAAAAAGAGAAATACAAAAAGCTGTATGGGCAAGTTGAAAAACAGATGTTATACAACATCTGACATCTAGATCTCATTGTGTATTGGGAACAGAGGAAGCTATATGAGGAATTTAAAGGGGGACTAGAAGGAGCCCAAATGCTGTGTTCTCTGCTGGCTCCCAGGCCACTCCCTTCCTTCTCAGTGTGACTGTTTCCCCAGGTAAAGACAGGAGGATTTTGTTCTAGAGAACCAAGTTGATGTAAGATCATGGAGCCAAATGTTTCTCAAAGTCACCTCCCACACACTAAATGCATCACCAGGGTGAGTTACTGGTAGAGCAGAGAGGACGAGACCACACAAGGGAATTGAACTAGGTCTACAGGAAGGTAGGATATGCTGAGAACAAAAGTGTGCTTTGGAGGACAGAGATGTCCATATGGCCACTGCAGGAAAGGAAGAACAGGTACAGAGGTCACTGTGCACAGCATCCCTGCCCTGGGAGCTCTACATGGTATGGGTGCTTCTGCCAACACCCAGGAAGCCCCTTCTCTACACACCTGCCAGGTTCTGCAGCTTCCTCTGCTTGTGTAGCAGGCAAGAGGACAGATTGCTGAAAGGATGACAAGCCAGCAGTTGGGAACAGCATGTGTTTATTCTGTCAAGTGAAACAGAAGAACTCACAGGCTCTGTCAGTGGGAATTTTTAAGAATCAGAGCCCAGCCATACTCTTGGATGGTGGAGTGCTTGAACTGAGCAGACTCTGCTCACAACAGATCAGCCAGCCTGTCCACAGCCACCATCACCTCCCAAGCCACAGCAGGAAGCAGCAGTGGCTATAATTTGATTTGAAGGATTAGGGATGCATACACAATCATTAAGAGGAGATTTCTGTTTCTAGGGTAAATACTGGATTGAACAGTTCTTGGAACATGGAAGAACATTTGCTATTAATTTAATGAATTTTTCAGGATTATACTTCCTATATAGATAGATCATGAAAAACACAGTGAACAACTTCTATTTCGAAGTGTTTCATTAAGGTGCAAAGTGTCACATACATGTTCATGTCATTTAGAAAAAAAGGGATGTGCTTCTGGTCATCAGATGGCCTTTGTTGGCTGTTTCCCAGCTGGGTACACATCAAGTTATTTAAGTGAAGAAAACAATCATCTTGGGGGAGGAGGAGTCTAAAAATAGTCATTTTATTTAAAATCTGAGGGCTGGAATAAGTGATAGCCCTCACAGATAAAGGAAAGAAGTACTTTCCATTTCTAAAACTGTCAAAGTATAACACACAGGAACATTATTGCAATATTTTAATAATGTTACGATATCCTTACTCAGAAACTGAAGAACTTACGACACAGCAGCTATTGGTGAACTCAGCTTTGTATGTGAAATTAAACACTAATAGGTTCACATGGCACTTGCTAACTAGGTCTACAGGTGGTAGCTACAGATGGGAATGATTGGAGAGTAAACATCCTTTGGGAGAGGCTGTATTTTATCTTTAATTTGGTTAAAAATATGGAAGGGGACCAGGGTGGTCCACATTGGACCAACTGGTCTTCTTACCTTCTCTGCCAGTTCCTCCCCCTAAAGATGTTACTGGCTTCTGAGCAGAGAGCAATGCCTACTGTTGTGATGGCGCCCTTAGCTCTGAGCTAGCACACACTTAAACCCCTCAGCTTTTCCTATGGGGATGAGTCCCCTAACCTCAGAAGGACAAAAGCCTGCTCAGAAGTGGCTGGCTCTCTCTCAGTTCCCTGGGATGCTGGACTGTGGATTTTCACTGTAACTGCCGGGTAGATTCTGCAACTCCAGAGAGGGTTTCTTATTCGTGGTGGTATGGAATATGCCCCTTGAGGGTGTGTCACAGCCAAATGCAATGTTCAACAGGTGGGCATCGTACATGCTGCCCTGACGACAGGGGGTTTCACGTGGGGGAGGGGAGCAAGGACCGGATGGCACTTCCGCAGGGAGGGCTTTCACATGACCACACACTTGCCCTTGAGCTTCTCTTTCCTTTTCTGCTGCTTGCTCTTTTTGCCGTCGATCTGGAGGCTCACGGTCCTGCGTTTCTCCAGGTTGAGCAGCTCCTGAAAGAGCTCCTTGACGTTGTGGTTGAGCTTGGCCGAGGTCTCCATGAAGGCACACTTCCATGTGCGGGCCAAGGCCTCTGCCTCGCTGCTCTGCACCTCGCGGCTGGGGCTCTCGTCACACTTGTTCCCCACCAGCATGATGGGGATGCTCTCCACATCCCCTTTGATCTCGCAGATCTGCTCATAGATGGGCTTGAGCTCCTCCAGGGACTGCCGGCTGGTGATGGAGTACACCAGGATGAAGGCATGCCCCTTGGAGATGGACAGCCGCTGCATGGCAGGGAACTGGTGGCTGCCAGTGGTGTCAGTGATCTGGAGTGTACAGATGCTCTTGTCACAGCTGATTACCTGCCGGTAGGTGTCTTCCACGGTTGGGATGTAGCTCTCCCGGAATGTGCCTTTCACAAATCTCAAGACCAGGGAGCTCTTGCCAACACCTCCTGCCCCAAAAACTGCCACCCGGTAATCGTTGCTCTGCTCTGGCATGTTGCTTGAGGACTCCAGCTATCAACCAGGAGACACCTAGCAAAGGAACCAAATAGTGAAAGAACTTTAAAAACCGTGAAAAGAATGGCTTTGCCCTCTTTCAATAGCTTAAATACTTCAGGAGATGGTTTGCCTTCATTCTGCCAGCATAAGACTATTCAGATTTCATTTAGAAAATTCTACAGTTTGAAATCCAACTAATTTGGTCATAAGACAGTTAATCTACTTAGCAGCTAACTAGAGTCAGTCTAGTTGTCTTTATTGAACCTTGACTTGAGCATGCTTTTTCATACCTAGACCCCATCTGTACCCAAGGAAAAGATGTAGACTCAGTTCAAGAGAGGTAAAAAGAAAGACAGACTGGAGGGGGGAACTCACCCCTGTACACACAATCACAACATCCACTTTACTGTTTTACCTGAAATTCTGCATACCCAATATACAGCTTATAACAATGTGGTGGGTTTTTTTCTTTTCAAATACTGGGAGGAAGAAACAAAGAAAGAGGAAGCTCTTACTATTTATTTGGTGTTGATATTAATTCATGAACTCCTTAGCATCTTACAGAAATCGGTATCATTGTTGTCGTTATGTAATGATAAAACTGGAAACAAGGGATCAATTGGGAATTTATATCCTGATGTCACACAGCCGTGCAGGGGCATGAGATACAAAACAAAGCACCACAAACACCATAGTCCTCTCAACAGGGAGTCCTGCACAAAGGACTGGTCCCAGTGTCTTGGGCATTACTCAAGCCATAGTATAGATTGCCTCAATTAAGTAGAAAGAGTTGAAAAATTAACCAAGAAGCTTGGAGAGCTGTTTATTCATCCAATCTAAAATGATTCTATCATAAGAATCATAAGGCATTGAATATTACCAGTATAGTTGTGTAAGCTACTTATAAATGATCATTAAAACTGAGTAGAATGGAATTTTCCTTCATTGCAAATATCACTCCTAGCTTAAGGGATTTGCAAAGGTGCTTTCTTCATCTATAAACTAGTGAATATCTTTCATCCCATATCTTCTTTGGCAAGGAAGGACATACACCCAGAGAGAATTAAACAACATCCACCCTTTGTCACTGAAGTAGATAAGTAACATGTTAACATGACACATGGAATCCATCCTTGTTATTTGCAAGCAAGCATTGCACTAACTTTTAACTTTTTGTTCTTAGAGTAACTGTGGAACAACAGCAAGCATTGCTGAGCAAAGTCATTTTCAGAGTACAGTAAAAAATATTCAACATAATTGACAATGGAAGGAAATGGGTTTGTGCAATGAATGTATCTCCTGGCAGACAGAAATCAAAGTCCAAGAGAGCAGCCTCTACCTCATGATTCCATCATGCATGTCGGTCTATGAATCGGCTTCATTAAATACTCAGCTGTTCTTTTGTGGACTTTGGAATCTCAATCCTACCGAGAAACTGAAGAAGCATCAATGCTAAAAGAGGAAATAAAAAGATGTATGAAGTTCGTTAACAGCAAAAGACTGCAAGACAGAATCTGTAGGAGTTTGATTAAGTCTATTAAATGCTCATGAGATAATTAAGATCAATCTTAATTGTGCAGCACTGAGACAAATTATCCTAAATTTAATTTTTTTTATATAAAAAATCAATGATGTATAGAATCTGATTTGAAGGTTCTCTCAAATCTTCTCAGAGAGAAGTTGCCCTCACTGCTTGGAGTGATGTTTTCTCACCGTCTTGCCTAGGCTTGTGGTTATTTAGCTCCAGGCTTGGGTGTAAGAATCCAGATAAAAAAGAAAATGTCTTAACAAGTTCTGAATTCCAATATTGCCAGGAGAGCTCTTGGCCCTCAGCATATGCACTTTAGCTGGGTGCAGAATACATGGTTAGTTGTGTTAAGGTGCCTCCATATTTTACCTAGCCACTAAAATATAGAAAATAAAAAAAGGAAAGTATTTGTGTCTACTGCTATTCATTTGTCTAAAGAAATATTTATTGAGCTTTGGCTAAAGACCAGGCTCTGGGCAAGAGCCCAGGAGACAACCATGCAGAGCCAGGACCTAAGGCAGTGTCTCTCTTCTCATGGAACTCAGAATCAAGTTGAACAGACAGAAATTGAAAAGATAATTTCAGAAATATTTAATAAATTATATCTCAGCAGGCACTGAAAAAGAGAGGTCTGAAGGAGCATCATCAAACCTGGGCTGTCAGGAGCAAGTCCCCTAAGGAAGAGGCATAGGAAAGGGGGCAGGGAACGTGAGCAGGAGTCAGGCCGGTGATACTCCATTGGATCCTTGACTCTAACAGTTCTTACTCAAGCTGTAAATGATATTCTTCCATCTCACAACCATTCATTTATTTCACAAGCATTTGTAAGATACTTTAGAGAGGGCAGAAAAGCACTGAATAAGTACATTACAGCCCATGGGGCAGATGCTATGGTAAAGTTATAAACAAAGGTGAAAGAACCCAGTGTGGCATCTAATTCTGCCTGGAGCCAAGGAAACGTCTGACTTAGGGCTGGGATTTGCCAGGGGGGCCCAGTGATGAAATGCAAGTCAGACAGAAGAAGGAACTTAGGGATGGGAACAATGCAAGAAACACAGCTAACATTCAGGTACGTCAGGAGGTTGGTGTGATCTGGCAATGAGGAAGCAAGTGAGTATGGTACCATTAATCAAGAAAGGCAGATAAGAGAAAGAGTTGAATATTTATAATAGAAATTAATAAAATGAAGAATAAAGAAACAGTAGAGAAAATCAATAAAACCAAGTATCAACAAAATTAGTAAATCTTTAACTAGATTGATTAAGCAAAAAGGTGAGAAGACTGAAATTACTAAAATCAGGAATGAAACAGGAGCTATTACCACTGACCTTACAGAAATAAAGGATTACAGGGGATATAAAAACTCCTAGATCTCTATATGCCAACAATTCAGATAGCTTAAGCAGATGAAATAAATAAATTACCCAAGCTGACTCAAGAAGAAATTCTCATAATATATTATGTATATATCTACATTGTGTAAAATTTCTTCTTGAAATACATATATACTATACTTGAAATATACTTTGAACTTACCCAAAGTCTTCTAGCATAGGGTAGACATATAAACACACAGAATATAATTCAGCCCAGAAACAAACTGTCACCTGTATGGTCAATTGATTTTCACAACAGTCCCAAGAAGATTCAAGGAGAAAGAATACTCTTTTCAACCAATGATGTTGAATTAATTGAATATCCACTTGCAAAAGAATGATGTTAGACCCCTTTCTCATATCATATAATAATTAACATAAAATGAATCAAAGATTTAAATGCAAAACTAAAACTATCGAACTCTCAGAAGTAAACACGGGAATAAATCTTTATGATCTGGGGTTAGATGATGGATTTTTCAAAAAATCCACTTCAAAGTGATACCATATGTACAAGAAATAAGACTAATACTAGATGAATTAAGTTTCATCAAAATTAAAAGACACTTGGTTGGACACAGTGGCTCACACCTATAATCTCAGCTACTTAGAAGACAGAGATAGGGAGGCCAGCCTGGGAAAAAGTTGGTGAGACCCCCATCTTACATAAGCCAGACAAAGTAAGTATTCACCTATCATCCCAGCCGCATGGGAGGCATAGGTAGGAGAATTGTAGTCTGAGGATGATCCCAGGCAAAAAATGGGAGACCCTGCATGGAAAACAACTAAAGCAAAAAAGGGCTTCAGCATGGCTTGACTGGTAGAGCACCTGCCTTGCAGGTATGAGGTTCTGAGTTCAAATCCCAGTACTAGCAAACATTTTTAAAAAATTAAAGAACACTATTAAAAAATGATCCACAGAATGGGAGAAGATATTTTTAAATTATAAATCTGACAAGGGATTAATTTCAGCAAAAAGTACTTCTATAATTCAACAAAGCAACCTAATTAATAAATAAGTAAAGACTTGAATAGACGTTTCTCCAAAGAAGATATACAAATGGTATGTAACAACATAGTCAACATCACTAGACATTAGGGAAATGCAAATCAAAACCATATCAAAATACCACTTCAGACCCACGTGAATGGTCATAAATGACAAAAAAAGAAAAGAATTATAAATGTCAGTGAAGATGTGGAGGAATTAGAACACCTGTCCTTTGCTAGTCAGGATGTAAAATGGTCATGCTTGTTTGAAAAATATTCTATCCATTCTTCAAAATATTAAAAATAGAATTACATACAACTCAGTAATCCCCAAAACATATAGCCACACAAAATGTGCACATGAATGTTCACAGAAATATTATTCATATTAGCCAGATGAAAACAAACCAAATATCCAACAACTAATGGGGGTGTAAATGTGGCATTTCCTAACCATGAGGTGTTATCAGTAGCACAAAGGAAGAAGTGTTGATGTGTATACAGCATGGGGGAACCTTGAAAACGATGCTAAGTGGAAGAAACCAGTAAGAAAAGACAACACATATTGCTTCACTCCATTTACACGGAACCTACAGAATTGCATATTTATAGGATGCTCTAGTTTGGTTCTTGGTGTCCTCCAAAGGTCCTTGTGTTGAAAGCTTGGTCCCCAACCTATGATGCACTATTGGGAAGTTGGGGAACCTTTAAGAGATGGGCTCACGTGGGCGGTTTGGGGGCCACTGAAGCTGTACTCTCAAAGGGGATTGCAGACCATGGTCCATGGTCTCTTCCTTTCTCTCTTTTGCTTCCTGGCCATGAGGTGAGCAGCTTTATTCCGTCACACACTCCCACTCTACTGTACCACCAAGGCTTATGAAACTTCTAAAATTTATGAGTCTTTTACTTTCAAAAGTTGGTTCCTCAGTTGTTTGTTATAGTGACCGAAAGCTGACTGGCACAGAGGCAGAAAGTACATGTGCGGTTGCCTAAGAATGAGGTGGTGAGGCACTGAAGGAGTGGGAAGTGATTGACGGAAGATACAGAGCTTCATTTGCAGCAATAAAAATGTTCTAATGCTCACTGGTAATGGCTGCACAATC